GAAGGTATTAGCACCCTTTCTATCCATGGTTATCCATGGGCTCTTAGGTACTTGCTTATATCAACTTGCCTTGGTTTTCAATTGTTTGAAATGGTGCTTTGTGCGTGGTTTTGAAAATGTTTTGAAAATGTTTTGAAAAAGATGCCTTGTCTAGGCTACCCTTGTAACAATTCTTTACTCGAATGTTTTACAAAAGGTGTTTGTCTTTTTTGAAAAGATGTTTCAAGGTTTTTTGAAAGTTGTTTTGAAAGTGTAGTGATGTGTGGTTTGAAAAATAGGCAAGTGTTTTTGTTTTGCAAGTTGACAAGTACTTAAGAGCCATCTACCCTAAAGTTCTCAAAGATTTTTGCTATGTTTTAACCCTTTTAACAATTTTGTTCCACCATTGCATTTGGTGGACAATCTTGTGTTAGGATGTGAAAGGGACGGGCGCGGGTCATCGTTTAGACCATGATTGCAATGGTGCCAAGTATCTTTGGGCAATTTTTCCTTTAAGGGGCTTGATCATTTTTTAGGCAACTTTCGAAAGCGTCATCGAGGGACTATGATCATTTGATTGTTTGTTTTGCCCAAAGAGACCTAACATGCAATATGGCCCATTTATTGAAGGCAACAAGTGGAATACCCTAGGGGTGCAAGTGTGATTAGTGTTGTCCATTTTCATGCTTGTTTATCTTGAAATTAAGTCAAACTATTTTTGTTATTTTTGATTCGCATACAAACCCTAATTCTAACATGGTATATTTAGAAAGCATTAAAGTGCGAAAAATAAAGTCCTAAACTATTACAACACAATATATGGGAAGGGGGGTACAAATGTTCAAATGGGGGGTATTTTGACAAGGAATTTAAACCTAGACTATTACATCAATTTGAGATTATACAAGGTAATTAATATACAATAATTAAATAAAAATGGAATAAATATGCAAGATGCAAAAATGTTTTTTATATGTATGAAAAAAAAGTATTTTTTATATGTCAAATAAACAAAATAAAAAGTATTATTTTTTGGAGTTTTTATGTATTTAGGGCAAAATCCTAATTTATTAAATAAAAGGTATTAATTATTTAATATATACAATATTTAATAATTATGTACAAAAAATAAAATAAAAATGAAGTATATTTATAAAAAGGTATTTTTAATACTAAATATTAATGAAAATAAAAAATATATATATTTTATATTTTTTAACCTAAATATACTAATAAATATATATATGTATTTGTATTATATGATAAATATATTAAATATGTGTAAAAATATAATATTTAATATTTACAAAAAAAAAAGTATTTTTGATATAAAATGTTTTCAAGAGAGAAAATAAAAATAAAAATCAGAAATAAAATAAGTTTGCATTATTTTTAGTATTTTTAAATAAAAAGTGTTTATGTATTTATTTATGTACAAATATCAATATAAACAAATAAATGCCTAAAAAATATAAAGATGGTGTAAAAAATATTTTTTATGTTTTTAATATTATTAGCAAAAATAAATAATTCAGAATAAAAAAAGAAAAGTCAAAAAATCATGCAAATAAACAAAATGGGCCTAGGGGGTGTCAAAGTGAAAATGATGTGTAAACAGAAATGACAAACAAAGCCCAGCCCAGAAAGTTGTTGTCTTCAACCTTCAGACAAACAAATTCAAAAAACACGCGCCTTTCTTCTCCAATCCCCAACTCCTGATTCTTTGATCTTTTGCCAAATCTTCCAACATGAAACTTGTAGAGCTTGAAGCCACGATTCTAGACATATAAAGAAGTCAATCTAACTCTCAGAAATGAGAGAGAATTTCTTCTCCCCCAATTCCTGACCTAGTTTTTTATCAATGTTCAGACCTAAAATTCTCATAGCACAGGCAAAATAAATGGAAAGTAAAGGCATGTACAGTTTCAGGGGCATGAGTAGAACACTTTTTATTCACAAACCTAGAGCCAACAATGCCTACATTGGGAGTTAGAAGTTCATGAATATACCTGTTCAGTTGGAATCGTGCCTTGCAATGGAGGAGCTTTCAGGGCAAGATGATGATTTGTACCGCTTGCCTGAAGTGTAGTGATGCTATTCCAATGCTTGGTGTGTTTTGAATCGTGCCAAATCAAGCTGCAGAAGTCCACCTGCAAGATAGAAAAATGGAAATGGCAAATGGTGCTATGGCTGTTACAGTCTCAGTTCAAGGTTTGGAATAGTTTATATGGATATTATGGAATGTGTTTGAAGTGTTTTTGGCCAAGATGCACGATGGAAATGAGTTGTGGGATTCAAGTTGCAGAATATGCCCTGTTTTGGCAGTTTGAGGGTGATTCTGTGAATGAAAGGGTGTTGGAGAGGGTTGGCTCGTGTTCTAGCTCAGTTAGGGTGTTTAGAAAGTGTACAAAGTTTTTGCTTAAGCTTCTTTGTGCTGAGATGAAAGTTGTTGGATGATATGTTATGTTTCTTACACTTTAAGCAACAAAAGGCAACTTGGTGTTCTAGACTGATGCAGACCCCCAAGCTATGCTGCTAACCTTTCCCTTGATCAGTGTGTTTTGTTCATAAACTTGTGCCAAAGAGATTTGAACTGTACCACTTGGATTGCAAATTTGACATAAAGTGCAACTTTATCAAAATGGATATATTGCTTTTTCTAAATAAGGATTAATTCTCCATGTAATGTCCAAATGCATAGAACAACATCTTGGCACAATGGTTTAGCATTGAATTATTGAGTAAAAATGGTATTAGAGGCCTGCAATGTAGCTTGCACATGCTGAGTTTGAAAATGCACAAGTTATGGACATGGAAATTGGCCATAACAAAAGTGAGTATTTCCCATATTGCAAAATTCGATTCTCTCAACCCAAGAGGTTGTTTGATGAGTTCTTGGACATTTTGGAAAGATTGGAATGTGTACTACAATCCATCTTTGAAATGCAAATTGAAATTCCAAGTGGAAGTATGTGAAAAATGGTCTTGAAGTTAGGCAAAAATCCTGCCTAAAATAGGTCAAATTTTCTCTAAGTTAAGAATGGTTTGGTACCCTTGTTCCAAAAATTGTAACTTGAGCTAAAAGCTTCTTTTGGAAAAACTTTGTGAATCAAAGTTGTAGATTATGCAATAGGCTACAACTTTCATGTTTTGACTTTTGCTTGAATCCAAATGAATCTTGGTGAGAAAGTGGGACAAAGTTAGGAAAAAATTAGGGTTTTTCATAACTTAGAAAAATTCTAAGTTATGGAAAATCTTCATTTCAAACCCTAATTTGCATTTCTTGATTTCTTGATGAACAAGTTTCATGATTTGGAATGTTTTGATGAAAAATGAATCTTGACTCTTGATTTTGACCAAAAAGTCAAAGTTTGACTTTTCAGTATACAATCAAAATTGATCAATTGACTGGGAAATTCAACTGTCAATCTTGTGTATTTGGGATCTTTTGAACTTGTTGAGCATGTCAAGATAATTCCATGGGGTCCTTGAGTTCATATGTGAACTTGGTTTGCCATTGGCTAGGTCAAACAGTCAAAAATTGCCTTTGTGCAGTCAAAACCCTAAAAATGACCATTTTGCCCTTTTGGTGATCTGATCAAATTTCTTGTGGAATTGTGATCCAAACTTGATCAAATGGTCCATATGAGTTCATAAGGTTGATGTGGGTCAATTTTCATGAGATTTGACTGTCAATTGGCCACAGTTGACTTTTTCCCCAATACAACTGATTTCTAGGTCAACTGTCCAATTGAGTGGGCAAAATTTGGAATCAAGACTTGAAACTTGGTATGGATAAACTTGGGAGTCCAACATGAAGCATGAAAATCATCTTAGGCATTTTAGGTCAAAATATCTTTGTTCAAACACAAACCCTAATTTGGGTCCACAGTGCAAGGAGAAGTCTTGAGCAGAGGAAACCCTAATTGGATCTTGAGCTCCAAGGGTTTTGGGATGAGAAAATGTTGAGAAAATGGGAGGACAAATTTTGGGGTACAACACATATGTTTATCAAGGTCATTATATTCTAGAAAAAAACATTACAAAATTTTGGATTTAGTTTAGATTTGAACCCAAGCCATCCTATTTTTCAAGCAATAACAACTTACTACTACACCATTTCACAATTAATGTTAATTATTTCATTCAAGTTTATCATTTTATTCAAGTTTATTATCAAGTCACCCCTATAATTAATCGATTAAAGTCACAAGCAGGGGAACATCTTCTGCGGTGCCAGACATATTTCAACCAAATTTTGTATCTCAAACTCCCAACTCAATGATCAATACTTCGAAGAAAGAAGATAATACTAAAGCTTTTGATTTTATCTCAATAAATCCAAATCTAAATGCTTTTATATGTATCTTCCATCGGTTTAGTTTTTGTTAATGGTCTGTTTTGTGTTTACTGCTTTATGAACTACTTTTACTATTTTTTTTGTGTTAATATTTGCAACTTGAATGAAATATATCATTGGACATGTGTGAGATAGAATATTATGATGCCATTTGATTTGGTACATGCAATATAAATTGTTGGTTGTTATAATAATTAAAAAAAGAAATATATATATAGTGTATTTTGTTTTATTAAATAAGTTGTTGGGAGTTTAATGTATATTGTCTAATTAATACTATAGTGACTGATTTATCAGTGTGGGAGAGGGCTCACGAGAGAAATGCAAAAGAACTCTAAAATTAATAATAGAGATGGTAACACAGTACTTCAGAAAATGTGAAATATAAAATTAAGTGGTGATAAATGTATAGATAATGAACACTTAATCAATATATGAAGTGGCGGACTGGTAGCACAAAATCCTGTTTGGAATTCTTTTAATTTAAAAAATTATTTAAGAATAAAAATAAATAAATAATTATTTAACTTAAGGGAAAAAAAAAGGATTTTGCAAATATCTTTAGAACATATTGAGTAGAATGAGACAAGGGCAGTTTTGGGAATTATGAGAGAATATTTATGAACCACACAATTTTGCGGCCGCTGAAGAAAAATCAAACATGTTGATGAAACTCAGCACACGAAACTCCATTTCCTCATCTCTTCGAGTAATTCAAACTTCACGGTTCTTCTCTTGTAAGCATTTTTTTTTCTTTTTTTTTCTTCTCAAATACGTGTATCAACCATTCTATGCTATAAACTTGTTTATTCACTCATGTTTTAGATGTTGCGGATGAGGAAAGGGTTTACGCTTCCAACTCTATCATTCACCCTACTGCCATTGTTCATCCCAATGCTCTCCTGGGTCAGGTAATTGCTTTTCAACCATACTTTTCTTCTTAATTGTTTTGAAAATATCAATGCAAATTGTTGTCTGGAACTATTGATTTTGGAAGTTAATATTGTATGATATATGTAGTAACGACACCTTTGAAAAAATGGGTGTCTGTGTCCGTGTCTGTGTTAGAAACCGACATTTGTGATTAAATTTAATTTATTATTTTTTTTTCTCAAGTTATTACTGGTGTAGACACGTCAGTGTCAATGCTTCATATATCTTCACTACTTTGTTTATGAGATGAGGGATATCTTGCATTTATGTATAGGGAGTTTCCATTGGACCTTTTTGTTCTATCAGTTCTTCTGCAAAGCTAGGGAATGGTTGTCAGCTATATCCAGGAAGCCATGTTTTTGGAAATACTGAGTTAGGGGACAGTTGTACGCTGATGACGTGAGTTCATATCTAACATCACTGTTTTCTTCTAAGATTTTGATCTATTGAGTAGTCTTTGATTTGGAGTTTGGACCATTATATGTTCATGTTTATTTGGGGACCTTAATCTTGCAGTGGCGCGGTTGTTGGTGATGATTTTCCTGGATGTACTGTCATTGGAAGCAATAATGCAATAGGATATCATGCTGTGATCGGTGTCAAATGTCAAGACTTGAAATACAAGGTACGAGTACGATTCATTTTCAACTATGTTAGTTGGTTACCTAGACAGAGTTCGACAACCTTGAAATGCACTCGAGTTGCATGCTGCGTACTCATGTAGTTTATGCGTGGCTTACTTTAGAAAACCTATATGCTCTTAATTGTTCTTGCCTTGTAGCCAGAAGATGAGTGTTTCCTAGAAGTTGGACATAATAATGATATTAGGGAACATACTTCAATCCACAGATCTTCAAAATCAACTGATAGAACGGTAAGAAGATGCGATCATTAATTTTTTTGCTGATAAAGAAAAACAGAATGTCAAGATGTGTAAAAACCTTATACATCTTCTCATTCATTTACTGTCATTATTTAAACAGGTAATTGGTGATGGAAATTTAATTATGGGAGCTTGCCATATTGCCCATGATTGCAAGATTGGCAACAACAACATTTTTGCTAACAACACTCTTCTAGCCGGGCATGTTGAGGTGGAAGTAAGTTCTTGTGAAAACTAAAGTATCTTTATATGATAAATAAAATTTGTTTCGTTAATTTCTTACGTTTTAAGCATGGTATTGTAAAATTAACTGAAACTCTTGTTATGTAGGACTATGTTCACACTGCTGGTGCGGCGGTTGTTCACCAATTCTGTCATCTTGGCTCGTTCTCTTTTCTTGGTGGTGGTTCTGTGGTAGGTTTTTCATCCAATCTCAAAGTCTTGAATCGGTCTATTTTGTATCGGGAAATGGTTGTTGCTCTAAGGACTTCTATAAAGTCAAAGGCTAAGAGCAAGAAATAAATGTGATCTATTTCTAAGAAATGATTTATTTTTGGCTTTCGTATTCAATAATCAATATAACATTATTGTTTTCATGGTGATGATTTCAACACTAGTTCATATAAAATAGAGTCTAGCATAGTGGGGCGTTTTTCGAATAAATGAAATACACCACAGTCCTTGTTAAAGAATTTCTTAAAGCATATACTTTTACCAAGCCAAATGTTTACAATTACTCGGGTGTGCAACTACAATGTCATGTTGTTACATAAAGGTTTCACAAGATGTTCCAAAGTACATGATGGTAGCAGGAAATAGAGCTGAGCTTCGTGGCCTAAATTTAGTAGGCCTAGCTCGACGCGGATTCAGCATTGAAGAGGTTTATACTGCACAACATATTACTAATTTAGTTGCCTTCAGTTTTATGTCATTGCAACTAAACAATTCTATTTGCTATCAATCGATCCAGATCAGGAGCCTTAAAACAGCTTATCGAAAGATATTCATGTGCACTGATACAACTGCAGTGTCTTTTGAAGAAAAGCTTGCACAAGTGGTATTTTTTCTTCTTTTTTGAGTTTGTCTGATCTAAGCTTTGAGGAAGCTAGTGATGTAGCTAAATCTTGAGATAAACTTGTTTTGCAGGAGCAGCATGAAGGATTGATTCACATTCCCGCTGTGCGTGCTCTGTTGCAATCTATTCGCGACTCTTTTGCAGAAGATCGTCGAGGAATATGCAAGTATAGATCATGGAATGGCTGTTGAAGCATGCTGCTATGGGCAAGTTGTTCTGTATACATTTTGTTTTCAAGAAATGTCATGCAGTTTTCAGCTCAAGTAGGAGCTCAAGTGAGAGTTTGTTGTACTTACTCAGTCTTGTATGAAGAGTGTATTCATTCGGAATCACTTATTTTTGTATAGGTACTCAATAGTAGTAACTTGTATTCATTGGAAACATCATTTCTTTTTTCAAAAATAGAGCTTTAACTATTTTAAATTAAACCCTGTTTTGTAATAGTAGCTTTTAACCTTAATGATGGGTTTAAAACTATATATATATATATATATATATATATATATATATATATATATATGAAAACATGCATAATTTTATTTTGAGCCTATTTGGATATAGTTTGATCAAATGCTTAAAAGATAAATGTTTATTGTATAAGTTTTTTTTATTTTTAAAATTCTATATTTAAAGAAAAAACTCTAATTAAATTATTTTATGTATAAGTTATAACTTGTTTTTCTAAATTATTTTAATGAAATTATCAAAGAGTTTGGTTATTGTAGAATATTTCAGATATTTTAACCAAAATTAATTTTGGTGGTTTTGATTGCTTGTTTAAACTATAATCTACAAAACAAAATATGATTGTCCTCGGTATTACAGCAAATGAAATCATTTTATCAGGCATTGCATAAAATACTGCACTCTAATTAACCTCTCTTGACACGAGGAGAGTGAAACAGATGTAGAGAATTGTGTCTAAATAACTTTGTTTACGATTTTATAAACAGTATGGTAGATGAAAAAGAAGATTAAAAAGTAATTTCACTGTTATGAAGAAAAATAGCTTAGACTTCTCATGAAATAACTTTAAATTATCTACTTATTTATCTTATTTTGATGTGCCCAAAATTAACTACATGTCATAATTGTTTAAGGTGACGAATTGTGATAAATTCCAAATGGAATATAAACTATGTTAATTAGATGACCATTGGATCAGATACACAGAAAATATAATTTCAACGAGAGCTAACATATATTGCAACAGATTATATGGAAAAAGCTGAAAGCAGGAACTGAAATGTTATTATGTACAACACTGATGTCAAAGATGACAGATTATGTGTCTTGCTTTTATCAAAGCACTGGACATGCTTTGTAAGGGCAGGCTGATTAGTTAGTGCATGTTTGGGTTGGCGTTGAGATTGTCATAATCACTGTGATTATGTTAAAAAGCTACACTCAAGAGCTTCATCATAACCATTGGTGTCAGCGTGTAAAATCACGGCCACTGCAAACATACATGAAATTCACATGAAGCTTTTCCTAACATTTGCAAAAGTACAATAATATCACAGTAGGTATATGCTCTGATATTAACAGGTACACCAACAGCAACCAAAAAACATTTGGCGGCGCATATAGTTACCATATAAGTTGCGGAGCAACCATCCTGAAATAAAAAATGGGCAAAAACTTATTTAAACACGTAGCTTTTGAATAGGACATACTGAAGCATATGATACTTACTTTCTAATGAAACAAAAACCAAGAAGTAACCTCTCATAAATTTAGTCAGCATTTTAAAAAAAATTAAATGTAACATGCAGCGACTAGTAACGGAGAAAAATCTTACATGAAAAATAAATAACATTTTAGTGTGTTTGGGAAGAAATAAGGGCCACATTAATCTCCCTGACTCACATCTTACATTTATGTACTTGAACTGATGTTCAATAAGTTGGAGACAACTAACAAGCTCATATTGGACTCCAATTGAAATTCACAACTATAATAAGATTAGGTTTTACCATACCTAGCGCAATTTTTTCATGCGTTTAGAGGGTCGCGCTGGCTCCTTTTTTGATTCCTCGAGAGGTTTTAAGTCAATAAATGGCTGAAACAGTTGAAACACATAAAGAATAAACAACTAAATTGAAGTACTATAATCAATCATCGCTTCACATTCTTATATTATGCTTTAACAACAAACAATAACTGAAAATGAAAATGACAAAAAAGTAATATCGTCTCTATGAAATAATCCAAATAAGATTTCAAGGGGATATTTTACTTCACAATTGAGTAAGAAGTTAAGAACCACTTGAAAGAAGAAAAAAAATGTTGGAAACCCGTGAGGAATCCATGCAAAAACATTGTAAGGAGTATCTAAGGGAAAGACTGAACTTGTCACTGGTTAACTAGAAGTAATTGTGAAGGTTTTTTTTTTTGAGAGAGAAATGGAGAGGACCATCAACAGTCTGCTTCAATTAGCACCCTGCCAGTTCGAATGATAATGTAATTTTTAAACTGATTTCTTTCTAAGGTTCAATTCATTGTTGGCAACAAATGTTTCATAACTGATTTTATCTTGCTTTCTGTTTTCATAGTTTTGAATAAGAAATGATTTCAAAGTTCAAACAACATTACAGTTTATCAGCTTCCTAGAAAAAAAAAACAAAGTGATACTTTTATAATTAAATATAAAAAGGGAAATGGAAACAGTGAATAGAAATAAAAATCACACAGATGTTTAGAGGGGCGTTTACTTTATGAAAACATTTCCAATTTTCACATTCATTTCTTTTTTGTATGTCAGTGGCTGTAATGGTATTTGGTTATGTAATTCAAGAATGTTTTTACATTTTTCAAAATTTTCAGAAATATGCAATCTATTTTCATAATCCATTTTCAAAAACTCCCCCAGTGTCTTCTATAATGTTTATCTTATCGATGAAAATGAAAACAAGAAACACTCAAAGTAAACAGGTCCTTACAATTTCATATTCTATAACCCAAAGCTTTTTTCCTCATTTTTGTGCCACAAAAATAAGACTATAAAATTGAAAATTAAATTCCAGTATTTGTTCCGTTCACTTTCATCATCTATAAACCATACAATTCTATGTTCGATAAACAATGTTTGATTACAAATATAAGGGGAGTAGCAGTGTTATCAAATTGCCCCACCATGGTCGCTATGACGGATATACATGACAGTTTTTGGGCTATCTGCAATGGTAAATATAAGCCGCAATTGCGGGGTTTGACTTTATTTGAACTTATCTACTAACATAAACACTAGCGAGACTGTTTTTGTAGAACCAAACAACTTATGACATGTTCATAAGCTGTTTTCAACTTATTTCCATAAGACCGGCAAGATAGCATATTTAAACAACTTATAACTAATTAGAACATTTGTTATATGAATAAGTTATGAATAAGCACTTAGTACATAATAAGCTATTAATTTAAGCTAGTTAACCAAACATGTGATTATTAGTTTATGAAATCAATGAAAATAAAAATAATGGATTTGAATGTAACCTCATCCCATTTAGTTTGAAGCTCTAGAAGCTCTTGACAATATTGAAGGCATTCAGCATGATACGCAGCAGCTAAGTCTTTGATCAAAGCCTTTCTTTTGATGATACCAACCACTTCAACAATAAAAATCATCATAATTACAACGTATCAAATCGAAACCCTAAATTCAGTGAAATTGAATGTGCGAGAAAATAAAATTGAAAAGAGAGATGAAAAGAAAGGAGAGATACTTCGACTAGGATCGAATGGTAAGGGGGGATTGGAAGGTTGAGGGAGGTTCTGTTGTTGTTCTTCGTTTGGTTCCGCCATGGATGATGCTTCTGCGACTTCTACTACCTGTTGTAGTCATCGTTGTTGTTTCTTCGTATAGAGTGGGTTGTCTTTTGGGCTTTTCTAAATTGGGTTTAAAAATGTAACAACTTGGGTCTCCATATTTTTCTTTATGGGAGATTTTAACTTAACACCCCTCAACTTTGATCTGACACTTTTTAATTTTTATTATTCTAAAAATACTTTTGCTGAGATGAAAAAAAAAATTTGAATGAAATTTTTTATATAGGTAATGAAATTTCTGTTACAGAGGAAATTTTTGATAGCACATAATAAAATTTCTAGTACTTTACAATTTTTCATAGTTCATATGAAATTTTTAGTATTTCGAAAGTTTCAAATTTATTAGTAAGTATCATAAATTTTTTAAATATATTGAAATTTATGATAGTTCAGTAATTCAAGTTTTTTTAACGATCAGAATATTGTCGACATCTTTGGAGGCTTCTGATTGCACGGACAAATTTATGTGGTCTAGAATGCATCACTATTTGTATAAATAGAGACATATGTTATAAGAAAGACATCTCAAAAACACCTCTTCCTCAATTTCTAATTAAGGCAGAAGTGTATTACAATAAAAGCAATCATATTGTTGAATTCAAGCTTTCAGATGACACTGAAGGAAAATTGCGATCAAAAGCGCAGCAGAATTTAAAATTTCCTTTAGCGATCCTTACGAATGAGCATGGTCAGTGATAGAAATATTTACCTCTTGTGGTGATTCAGACCTTTGATGTCGTGATCACGAGCGTTGATGAAGAACAACGCCTCTACTCAGTCCACACAAACAGATCGCTTCCGGTCACAATGCTAGCTGATCACGAACGGAAACCTTGAGTGAGAGAAAGAATCAAAAACGAAATTGCATCAAGTGAAATTGCTTCATCACAAGGGATCTATTTATAGAATCACTCGTGTGGGCTACAAGCTAAAAGCCCAATTAAGGCTATAAGCTAAAAGCCCAATTAAGCTTATGGACATCATACCTTATGATGTACCATATATCACTTATCCACGTGGTACCTTACCACTTTCCGTATTACACTTAAGTGCACTGTACCTTACGGTGTTCCTTATTTATTCTATCTCTCATCAACCTGTCCTTATGTGTGTGACCCTGTAGGTTTTCGCGACGTTGACAATTATATTAAATCACACATTTAATATAATAAACAGTGAGCGGTATCTAGCAACACATCACTGTTACCCAAGTCACGAAAATGTCATGTGATCTGACCAAACCTTTTCCTTGATAATATTTGTGTTGTACAATTACCCTTTTGCCCTCATGTCTATATTGAACACAAGGCATACACTGTGTCATCCTTGTCCAGTTCAATATTGGGCCCTTAGACATTTATCATGTTATGCAGGATGAGCAAATTCCATCTAGGTCACTCATGTCCCTTAGCATGCTTTGTGAAGTACCCATCAACCGTCTTTATAGTCATCCAGTTACGGATGACGTTTGATCAGCAATAAAGTACTTGACTCTATATCTAGGGTCCATAGTGGTTTCAGGTTGAAGGGTGGTATACACCATTATCATCATGAGAATAACTTATGACACTTTGTATAATATTCTATGTAGTATTCTCATAGCGGGTTAATCCAGTATAAATATTACTCCTAATATTCATACCTATGTCAAGACTTGATAACTCCTTATCTATGATCCATGAGATGTGATCATCAATCTATCTTCATAATAATCTTAATGCTTTAATGTTATCCCACTTCACATTAAAGCTTGACTACGGATACTTTAAGAATAGTGTCTTATGTTTAATGGGATCTCATGATTAAGTCACACTTAACATTTCATTAAACAAATAAACCATTCTAGGGACTTTATTATTTTGGACAGAAAACATAATAAAGAAATTCCTTTTATTATTAATAAATAATTCGATACAAGTACCAAAAGTATTGGCCTCTAGGGCTTACACCAACAGACACCACATCCCTTGCCAACTTAAAAGAAAAGTTAAATGAATTGCTACATGATTCTGATAACAGAAGGGTGAGAAAGATCGAGTTCCGGGAATATTAGATTGATATAGGTGGTTGGTGGAAATACTATCTGGTTGAGTTGAAGACCGATGAAGATGTGAAGGCCATGTAGAAATTATTTCTCCGTAGGATAACTAAAGGTTCGATCGAGTTGGATGCACAAATAACAATATTCGTCAACGACATAATCAAGACGCTGAAACATCCAGAATCATCTGATAGTGCCTAGATTTTCATGTTAGTTTTTTTAAATTTATGTTTGTTGTACTTTTTATGTTATTTTCATCTTCAAATCGTAACATGTAATCGCCAAAATATTATACAATACATAAGAAGTCTCAATGTTACAAAATATACATATAATACAACCAAAATATAACATATCTACATTTTCCCACCACATACTACATCCGCTAACCTAGCTAAACCTGTATAAATTTCACCTTCAGGGTTTTAAAACCCACGAGGTTATCTAAATGAAGAGCAATAAATTGTAGGCAGTTGTCCTGGTCACTCACATGTGGTAGAGGTGGTGGTGGTAGCATGTAAGAAACCCTAGCACGCGAAGGCCCCGAAATATCAGAAATCCTAGTCGGTGGTATGGTTCGAGGGTGTGATATACTGTGATACCACTCCAGATATCCATCCTTGAACCATAAAGGATACTCAACCATAACTATTGTATCCCTGATATCACGGGAAAAGTTGATGATGTGACTCTGAAACCATCTGCCAATATTGAAGGTGCAAGAAACACAAGAAATTGGGGTTTTAATTGAGTTTCTAGAAATAAAATCTTTTTGAAACCATTCACAAGAAGTTAACTCAAGAACAACAATAAATGAACATAATTATTTTTATTTTAGTTCACTGTTAACAAAGCTAATCTAGTCCGCCCACCAAGGTGATTTTACTTTCTCAATCAAGGACTTAATCCACTATAACCAAACTGATTACAATCCACAAAGACAAACTGTCAAAGTCTTCTTGAGAATCTTGACTAAATTCATAGTCTCTCAAGGAACAACACCTCAAAGACAAAATGTCAATGACTCCTCGGGTATTTAATCACTCAAGGAACAACCAACTCACTATTGAATGCAGACTTTTGTGTTTACAATAATGCTTCTTGAAAGAAGATTACACAGAAATGAAGAACAAATAATAACACAACATTGTTAAGCAAGTTAGTGAACAACAACTCCTTGCTAGAAAGTTAATGAACAAAATTTCCTTGCTTTACAAAAGTTATAGAGTTATTTTGGCAGTGTTTCAACAATTTGAATTAGAGTGAGTTTCTTCAAAGTTGTTCAGCAATTCAAATTCTTCCAAGTCTTACTTTTATAGCTGAAAAGAAATCTGTTGGAGGGTAGAATAGGAATATCAAAATCCCAATTGTCTTCTTGCAACGGTCAATGTGAGTGGTAAACAATATAGTACCAATAGTATAGTCCTTATGCCACAAAGCCATGGTAGTGGAAGAAAGTAACTTTGTACTAACACTTCACGTGAGACCTTTGATCTTCTCTTCTAATCTTCAGAGGCTTCAGAGTATGTAAGAGTTGAAGCATTCTTATAAGGATCAAAACCAGTCTTCAGAACTTTGGTCTTCAGAATCTTCAGAACTTGTTCAACAAAACCTTGTCTTCAGAGCCGTATCTTCATAATTTTTAGAACTCATTCAACAAAACCTTGTCTTCAGAATCTTCAGAGTCGTTGAATACTAAACAAACACTATGATACTAAATTGTTATCTAATCACCCATGTAATATTATCATCAAAACTCAAGTCCAGATGCTGAACCAAATTTTATTCTTACAATCTCCACCTTTTTGATGATGACAAAACTATGTATTTTGATAAACAATTTATACCAGTTTAATCACATAAGAATAATTCATAGTTAGATAAATAGCTCCCCCTGAGTTCCATATTCCCAGAACTTGTTTAATCTTGTTCAGAGTCTCCCCCTGAGTTCAAGACTAAAAGAAGTTTTGAGAAAATAGTATAAATAAATCAGAACGAAGGAATACTTCTCTGATTGAAGAACTATAAAAAGTATGACTAGCGATGCAGAAATATTCATCTCAGATTCTGGCTTTTTATCATAAGACTATGATGTATCAAAGTGTGGTTGAACTTGTCAAACCTTCAGGGTCTGGTTGAAGTTCTTTTCATAAAGGAAAAGATAATGAACTTTGCAGATCTTGTTGAGCAGTTGATTATTGTTAAGAAGCCACTGGTGACCTACGAACAAGAACTAAAAGAGTTTTAGGATTTCAAAGAACTTAAGCTTAAAAGAGTGAAAGTGTGGGATAATGGTAGTGAAAGTGTGTGAAGTGGGAGTGAGTGGGTTTTAAATAGAGTTTTTGCAATGATTAATAAAATATTAAAAAGTGCAAAAATTCTGACAAGGGGTAAAGTGTGAAGGTTTTTTACCTGATCCCAATATAGTCTCGTCTCTCAAAGAGTCACATCAAGTGTTAGGTGTGCTTCAAAAAATGACAATTGTCTTATTTTGAATCACCAACCTTTCACTATCCTGGAAACTCATTAATGAAGTAAACTCTTCAGTTTCCAACAGACAGAAGCATTCTAGAGAGAAGAGACCTTGAATACTTCTGACACATGAGAACTTCACTCATCAAAATCCTCGTATCCCAGAAGCAACAAAACTAACAATCAAGCCTCATAGTCTAATTTTCCATTACGGAAAGCAAATATTCTGAGATTTCATCTTTTTCATTCTGGACACAAAACCATTTTTAAATGTTTCAGAATGAAAATGAACCTATCTTCAGCAAGGGGTTTTATAAAGAAATTAGCCCATTGATGGTCTGTATCTATAAATTTTAAAGATAAAATTCCCTTCTAAACATAATCTCTTATAAAATGATGCTTTATCTCAATATGTTTAGCCCTATAATACAAAATTGGATTCTTAGACAAACACATTGCAGAA